CGCGTGTGTCATCATTGGTCTATAGACAAAAAACTTTACTTAAAACTTGCGTGTTCTATCTTATATTTTGTGAGTAATAATCACTGTTACTCAATGAATGTGTATACAATATTCTTTATAAAATTAATATGATAAAAAATGAACACATTTCTTGTTACAATGTATTACACATCGATAAACTGCTGACTCAATGTATGACAAAAGAAATTTTGGTGATAAGAATAAGAAAAAACAGACGGTTACCTTAGCAATACGTTTATTGGCCATGCGTATATATCATCTACGTTATCGTCGAAAATATCTCATTATATTAATGTTATTTTGTGCTTTAACATTATTTTATTTTCTTATAAAACAAATGTTACCCGAACAGTATGAACCAACATTAATACTTGATCATGAACGACATTTATTCATTCGTTTATATAAAGAAAATGATTTACAAAGAAAAAATATTCGACCATTTCGAATCTTAAGTGGTTCATTACATTATTTTCGTGTTTTACCACAATTATGGTCAGATCGTATTCAAGAAATGAAACGTGCTGGTTTAAATACTATTGAAACATACATTCCATGGAATTTACATGAACCGGAAAAAGGAAATTATAAATTTACTGAAGGTTTAACTGATTTAACTAGTTTTCTAAAATTAGTTCATCAACATGAAATGTTTACAATCATTCGTCCATCAGGTAAAATATTTAAATATTAAAAAAAAAACAATTTTTTTCATATTGATTCTTCTAGGTTATATTTGTGCTGAATATGAATGGGGTGGTTTACCAAGTTGGTTATTACAAGATAATAAAATGCGTGTTCGTACGACACATTCAGATTTTCTTGAAGCACTTAAAAATTATTATTCAGTATTATTACCTATATTATCTGAACATCAATATAATCGACATGGACAAGGTTCAATAATTGCATTTCAAATTGAAAATGAATACGGAAGTTATGGTGACGATAAAGATTATCTTCAAGCTATACATTCAATGTATACTGAATATGATCTTGATGAATTATTTTTCACATCGGATGGTCCAGGAGATCTTTCAAAAGGTTCATTAGATAATGTTTGGGCTACGGTTAATTTTCAAAGAAATGTGAAAGAAAATATTGAAAAATTAATTCAATTTCGTTCATATCATCATCTTATGATAACAGAATATTGGACAGGATGGTTTGATTATTGGGGTGGAAAGCATAAGACTGGTGCTAACGGTGCATATTCAGCAAATGAATTAAAAAAAGATCTTGAAGAAATTTTATTGAATTCAAAATATGAAATATCTATTAATTTTTATATGTTTTTTGGTGGTACAAATTTTGGTTTTACATCTGGTGGACATCATTTTCCATCAGGAAAATATTCTCCACTTGTTACATCATATGATTATGATGCACCATTAAATGAATCTGGTGATCGAACAGAAAAATATTTCGTCATACGAGATGTCATAAAAAAATTCTATGAACAATATCCACAATTAATTATCTACAATCACAGACGTCCAATTGACGATAAATTTGAATTAATTGAAACAAAACCATCAAAAAAAATTTCTTATGGAAAAATAAAAATTTTTGGTTATAAAACATTTGAACAAATACTTAATGATGATATTTTAACGAGTAAATATTCCGTTAATGATGGCCCATTAAATATGGAACAAATTCAAACACATAATCAATCATGTGGTGCATCACAAGGTTTTATTGTTTATACAAATAATAATATTGAGGATTTCTTAAAATCAAATAAAGAACATCATATAACAATAAAAGCAATTGCTGATAATGCTTTTATACTTGCTAATGGTAAATTAATCTATAAATCATTACATACAGACAATTCCATTCGATTTCATTTACCATCCAATACAAAAAATTTAACAATTATTGTAGAAAATATGGGACGTATTAATTTTGGTCCTACACTTGATAATAGTCGAAAAGGTATTCTCGATACAGTATTATTAGATGGTACTATTGAATTAAAAACATGGATTGTACATGTATTAGAATTTCATAAAGGTATGTCAAGTATTACCGATTGGAATAAATTAACCATTGATGATAAAGATGCTGAGAAGATCAATGATCTTAATAATGGTCCACAATTATTTTATGCACCATTTCATATTGAAAATGAAAAATCTATTGAAGATACATATTTATCATTAGATTCACAATGGACGAAAGGTGTTGCATTTGTAAATGGTTTCAATTTAGGAAGATATTGGAGTATTGGACCACAACGTACATTATATATTCCAAAAGAATTATTATTTAAAGGATTTAATCATATACAATTATTTGAATTATATACATATGGAAAATATATTCAACTCATCGATACACCTGTGATCGATGCGTGATATTTTGTTTTAAATTAGAACAGTTAGATTCCTTCATTGTTTTCTTTGTTGTTGTTGTTTAAAAATATTTCAATATGATCGAGAAATATTCTATTTAATATTTTTTTCTTCTTCTTCTTCTTTTCATAGTCAGAATTAAGAACGATGAATGGTTGAATATTCTTATTTAATCATATACAAGCAAATGTATATATTAGCATAAATAATCTAATAAGAATCTATAACTGGGTCACAGATGATTCCTAGATAATTTTTCTTTTCAATAGAAGATTGAAAACTCTTTCGTAAGACTATAGCGAATATTTAACTGTTATATAATTATTGGATAGTATAAACTGATTTTATATTATATAACTTAATTAATATCGAAAATGATCTTCTTCATTTTCTTTTTCGATATGTCATTAAGATGTTATCATTTTTATTATTTTTTCGTATAGTATTGATCCTATCTGTTAAAGTAATAATCATATAAAAACGAACATTTATTTCGTACTTGACATCTTTTTGTTTGTTCATATAAGTATACAACAGGTTGAAGGCTAAACTAACACTTCAATGACAATTATATGTATTTCATAGATACCTATTAACTTTCGTTAAAAATGAATTTGTTATTTTTAGGAGATATTCTGATTTTTCTTAATGAAAGAAATCTTCTTAAATCACCAATAGTTCTAACAAATGAACATATTAAATCAGAATTTGCAGCATTACGTCGACATAATAAACCCATACGTATTGGTATATGTCGTTGTACAGATCGATCTTTATTAAATAATACAACAATAAAACATTTGGGTTCGATAACATTTGATGAATTTCAAAAATTATCTATTGATAATCGATCAACACCATCACTTGATGAAAGTCGAAAATCATTAGTAATTGTTGATGAAATTATAACAAATATAGATTCAAAACATGTTTCAAGTAAACATCAAACTAAACCGTTAATTTATAAACGTAGTACAAGTCCAGCGAGAGATAGTGGTTTTATTGAAACAGATGGTAAGAAATTGAATTTAATCAACGAACTTCTAACTTATATATATATTTAGGTACAAATACATCGGTACTTACTGATCGTAGTGTTAATTCAAATTATATTAAACGTCGAAGTAAAGTATCATTAGAAAAAAGTGAAGATGATTCAACAGATACGCATAAATCACTTGATTCACTTCAACATTCTATTTCAAAACCAATTGAAGAAATTAAAAGTAAACCATCAGGTTTAATGTAAGTTAACGATTTTTGATATATAGAATTTTTCTAATCGAAATCTTTCTTCAGTTATTCAATTCCAATATCTCATAAATCACGTCAAATTCAACGTGATTTACCAACACAAACTGTTACAGATGCATGTTTTATTTATCGTCATCAAGTTGTTAAACAAGATGCTAATGATGATGAAAAAGCAGCTATGATTCTTCGTGGTCGTGAAATAGCTTATGAAGCTGCAAATACACCAACAATACCATCATCTATGCCCAATTATACACATGATCAAATTCGAGAACTTTATGGTGAATTAGATAAGAAAACACGTCGTTTACAACACGATGAATATACACTTCATACACCAATGATACATACATATCATGATAAACCACAATGGAAATTAGCATCACCAACAAAAACTAAAATTATCGATGAATGTCCATTACCAAAATTTCGTCTTGA